CTGGATTTATAAAGAACCTCCAGAACAGGAAGCTCACAGCCCTGTGTGTGTGTGTGTGTGTGTGTGTGTGTGTGTGTGTGTGTGTGTGTGTGTGTGTGTGTGTGTGTGTGTGTGTGTGTGTGTGTGTGTGTGTGTGTGTGTGTGTGTGTGTGTGTGTGTGTGTGTGTGTGTGTTGTCAATTCCTCAAAAGCAAGTCTGTCAATTAAACTGTGTCGTCAAAAGAGTAAAGTGTCACAATGAAACATGTTTCATTGTGACACTTTACTCTTTTATGTGTTTTCAATGAAAAAAGTCAGATCTTGACGTGAGCACTTTACACTGAACAGCACTTTTGAAAACTGCAGTAAAGCTGCACATGACAGTATTTAGTGAAGTAACTAAGTACAGGACACATATGTAAGTATTTCACATATTTATTGCATATGCTTGTTGGATTCCACATTGTGCAAAAAAAAGAAAAAAAAGCTCACAGTATTTAGAACAAACATAAGAAATACCATTATGGTAGAACTGTGCACAAATGTAAACCATACAACGGCACACATCACACTACTGGAAAAAACGGATGTCTTCCTTTGCAAGGCAGCAAGGAAAGTATCTCCTTGAGTGGCGAATCCACCCTCTGCAGGACTCCACTATGATGTCATCACATGCAGCATCCATGGCTGCTAGAAGGGCCATTTCAGCATGTGGACGCCGGTCATAAACTCTCCACCTCCAGGCAGGAAAAAACTCTTCTACCGGATTAAGGAATGGGGAGTAGGGGGGAGATACTAAACCAGCATCCTGCATGTGCTGCAAACCACTATCTGACCAGGAGTGGTGGAAGCTCACATTATCCCACACAATTACATCTTTACTCAGATGGTCTCCAGTTAGACCCCTCTCATCCTCAGGTACTATGGCTCTGTAGAGTGGGTCTAGAAACGCAAGAAGGTGTTGGGTGTTGTAAGGACCGAGGAGGAGGGGCTGAGGACATTTTCCAAGATGGCTGCCCACACCGTGATATCCCCCGGGTTGGCCTGGAACATCAGTTGGTGCTCTCTCTCTAATTCGGTTTTTCCACGCCTTCTTCCTTTGGCCAGATTGAAACCTGCCTCATCGACATAAATGAGTGTGTGCAGTGGTTCCCTGGCCTCTGGCTCCAGTATACGCTTTACGTATAACAGAAGAGAGGGAGAGATACATTTTTTTAAAGAACTTTATGTAAAAAAAGGCAAACATAGTTTATAGTATGTAGCCAACTGTGAACATTACTGCATCTACACAAAGTACTTTAAGACAGTTTACAGTGTTGAACATTAGGGTATGCAAAGAACACACACTCAAGCTGTACCTGTACATACTGGAGACGCGTCTCCTTCACCATTTCACTGATCCTTTAAAAAGGCACTTTGTAAAGTTGTTTCATGTGCATGTCATTCCTCCTGAGACTCGGTCAATTGTTGCAACTGAAACAAATTCAACATTCTTGAAGATATTGTCATCCTCTATAACAGAGCGTTGAATTTCTCTCAGTCTAATGGCATTGTTTTCTGTCACCACTACACAAATAGCTTCCTCTTGTTGTGGAGTAAAAACAGGCCCTTTCCACCTCTGTGAGGTTCTATTGCAGTTCTATGTGTTGGAAAAAAAAACAAGTTTGTACAAATATAGTATTGTACAATAAATATGAGATATAGAGTAACAAGGTATTGGAACTGTCCAATAAGATAACTCTTCTCCCTACGAACTGTCTGAATGATGGAAGTCTCGGTGGTTGTCCCCACATTCGGTTGCACACGTCGGCCTCAGCCACAGTGAGGCCGTGATGGTCCACAAGTGTAGCCCTTCATCAGGAACTTGCAGATGTACTTCACCTCTTCTTCTTCTGCCCCTGTTTTGACCCCGTCCTCCACGGATTCTCACTCTTCCTCCACGACGCTGATGTTCCATGTTTGTGGCACAGAATTGTAATAAATGGCACACACTGTGTCCTGTTGGGTCATATTTGCCAAGTGAGGGTTCACGGGAACAGCTCTGACTGTGGCTTGTCATTGGTTACAATGCTTCACACTTCACAGAACAATTGTTCAATTTAAGAGAGATAAAAGATAAAGATATTAGCTTGACAGATTTTGATTTTGAGAACTAGTTCAACAATGTTGTTTGTGATGACCAAAGCAATGAAATTAGGACTATTGGTTTTATAGAGAATGACTATTCAGAAGTCATAAGTATGTTTCATTTTGACTGACAGGACAGAAGCAAATGATAATGTTAACAAACAGCAGAGAATTGTATGAAAGTAACTGATTCATGTCCGAAAGCATTTGTAAAGTGTTCATAGGATTCAGAAACTGCCACGATGATGTGCATCAATGACTCAATGTTGTGGAGGTTGAACTAATAGTTTTGAGAACTTGAAGTCTGTGAGAAATGCACCAAAGCGACTGAGAAAAACTGTAAGAAGCTCTTCTGTCCTCCACTCGTTACCTGTATTAATGGCACCTGTTTGAACTCATCTGTATAAAAGACACCTGTCCACAGCCTCAAACAGTCAGACTCCAAACTCCACTATGGCCAAGACCAAAGAGCTGTCCAAGGACACCAGGAAAAGAACTGTAGACCTGCACCAGACTGGGAAGAGTGAATCTACAATAGGCAAGCAGCTTGGTGTGAACAAATCAACTGTGGGAGCAATTATCAGAAAATGGAAGACATACAAGACCACTGATAATCTCCCTCGATCTGGGGCTCCACGCAAGATCTCATCCCGTGGGGTCAAAATGATCATGAGAACGGTGATCAGATATCCCAGAACCACACGGGGGGACCTGGTGAGTGACCTGCAGAGAGCTGGGACCAAAGTAACAAAGGTTACCATCAGTAACACACTACGACGACAGGGAATCAAATCCTGCAGTGCCAGACGTGTCCCCCTGCTGAAGCCAGTGCATGTCCAGGCCCGTCTGAAGTTTGCCAGAGAGCACATGGATGATACAGCAGAGGATTGGGAGAATGTCATGTGGTCAGATGAAACCAAAGTAGAACTGTTTGGTATAAACTCAACTCGTCGTGTTTGGAGGAAGAAGACTGAGCTGCATCCCAAGAACACCATACCTACTGTGAAGCATGGGGGTGGAAACGTCATGCTTTGGGGCTGTTTTTCTGCTAAGGGGACAGGACGACTGATCCGTGTTAAGGAAAGAATGAATGGGGCCATGTATCGTGAGATTTTGAGCCAAAACCTCCTTCCATCAGTGAGAGCTTTGAAGATGAAACGTGGCTGGGTCTTCCAGCATGACAATGATCCCAAACACACCGCCCGGGCAACGAAGGAGTGGCTCCGTAAGAAGCATTTGAAAGTGCTGGAGTGGCCTCGCCAGTCTCCAGACCTCAACCCCATTGAACATCTGTGTTCACTGCTCTCAAGAAGATCTGCATGGAGGAATGGGCCAAAATACCAGCTACTGTGTGTACAAACACAAAGACCTATAGTAATCGGTTGACCTGTTATTGCCAACAAAGGTTATATTACAAAGTATTGAGTTGAATTTCTGTTATTGACCAAATACTTATTTTCCACCATAATTTACAAATAAATTCTTTAAAAATCCTACAATGTAAATTCCTGGATATTTTTTTTCACATTCTGTCTGAAAATTACAGACCTCTGTCATTATTTTAAGTGGGAGAACTTGCACAATCAGTGGCTGACTAAATACTTTTTGCCCCACTGTATATTTCACAATACATATTATTGTGTGTATGTGTACTGTATATATTTCACATATGTATTGTGTGTATGTGTACTGTATATATTTCACATATGTATTGTGTGTATGTGTACTGTATATATTTCACATATGTATTGTGTGTATGTGTACTGTATATATTTCACATATGTATTGTGTGTATGTGTACTGTATATATTTCACATATGTATTGTGTGTATGTGTACTGTATATATTTCACATATGTATTGTGTGTATGTGTACTGTATATATTTCACATATGTATTGTGTGTATGTGTACTGTATATATTTCACATATGTATTGTGTGTATGTGTACTGTATATATTTCACATATGTATTGTGTGTATGTGTACTGTATATATTTCACATATGTATTGTGTGTATGTGTACTGTATATATTTCACATATGTATTGTGTGTGCTGTGTGTAGTGTTTGTCTTTCACATATTTCCTGCATTTGCTCTTTGCATTTCTACAGCGTTGTGCAACAACAAAAAATATAGTTAGACCAACGGGAAGTAGTTGAATTCATTGCATCCAACCATGAACCCGTGGGCGAGTTGGTGTTAAACATCTGCGATAATAATGCAATGGTTTTATACCGCACTTTTGTGGCCACTCCCTACACAGCGGTAATAAGACACAGCTGCCCTGGGGCACACTGACAGAAGCGAGGCAACCAGTCTGTGCCATCGGCCCCTCCCACCACCACCAACCACTCACACACACACCAGACTCATTCTAATGTGGGGGAAGTGTCTTGCCTAAGGACACAACCACAGTTTGGCACTTTACAGCCACAGCCTCCCCACTGTAGCACCTGGTGTTCCCAGAGGTCTCCCATCAAAGTACTAACCAGTCCCTGTCCTGCTTAGCTTCACAGGTCTGATGGGGTCTGGCTCACACCTGCAGGAGGCGCCACAAAAAGTTTCCATCTTCATCATTTGAAGATCAAAAACGTATCTAGCTTTAGCATAATGGAGAAGAAAGTATAAATCCTGTATATAATATAATTAGCATGTTAGCATGTTAGCAGGTTAGCATGTTAGCATGTTAGCATTAAGAGGCTCTGGGACACAGTGACAGTAACATACATGGTTCTATACTGCACCTTCTGACAGTGATCCTTTCTATTAAATATATATGTACTGTATTCATTTGAACATTGTCTATTTATGAAAGTCCTAACCTCTAAAACACGTCTCTATCTGCCGTCACGCTCGCCGTCACGCTCGCCGTCACGCTCGCCGTCACGCTCGCCATCACGCTCGCATCTCGCCATCACGCTCGCCGTCACGCTCGCATCTCGCCATCACGCTTGCATCTCGCCGTGGATCCAGTGAGTGCATGTGGCGTGCAGATGCAGCCCTCTCCTCCTCCGGGCTCCTCACACTGTTTTGAACCGTTATGTTTTTAGACCCATTTGCTCCGGCCTCTGTCCGCCGCGCTCCGTCTCTGTGGGACGCTGCCGGAAGCAGGCGGCGATGGCGGACATTTGGCACGGAGACGGGACCTCGCCGCCGCAGGCTCTGAGTCCATTGTGGCGGCGCCGCTGTGGCGTTAGAGCGGAACATAAATCTTTAGGACTCTTGGGGGATTACAAATAAAGGTGGAATGTGCCCAGTCCGCCGGACGTGTGGGAAACGGTGAAAGACGACCTTCAGCACGAGAGACGGTGACGGCGAGTTCATGTCAACACAAAACTCTACATGTTGGTCCTTTGTGTGGGAAGATAACTTCTTTATCAGATAGATATAGATACATAGATAGATAGATAGATAGATAGATAGATACATAGATACATAGATAGATAGATAGATAGATAGATAGATACATAGATACATAGATACATAGATAGATAGATAGATAGATAGATAGATACATAGATAGATAGATACATAGATAGATAGATAGATAGACAGATAGATAGATACATAGATAGATAGATAGTACATTTATCTTGAGCTCCTTCTTCCTTCTGTTCTGTAACCCATGATGCAACACTGGAATTGTTTATGGTCAAATGCATTATGGTCCAGATTAGGTGAAAGTTCAGAATAATGAATCTTATCCTCATTTGAAGTTCACTTTAAATTTAATGTTTATGTTTTAATACCGTCTGAATGTGTTTTTCATGTCTTTACTTTCCTGTTAGTTATTCCTTAAAATGTGAAAAAGATAAAAATGTTAATTGTGGATTAAAATGTGAGATTATTAGTGTTTTAAAGTCACTGTCTGAATGTTCCGTGGGAATCGCTCTTTTGAGCCGATGCCAAATCTCACTTTTCTGTCTGAAAAAGCTGCTCTGAAGATTTGATGAAGCTAAAAAAAGATTTTACTTTTTCATAAATAAATCATTGATCGTTCTGAAAGATTCATGTTGTCAACATGTCAGACCCCAACGAGCTCTCGTTGTCTCACCAGGAAATACATACATCATTATAATCATAATTATTATAATAACAGTAATAATAATGATAATATTAACTAGAAACTTGCAATGGCTGAAGCCATTGCGATTGACTGCGGAACAGATCTAATGTGGAAATCTGCTAAAAAAAAATCCTTGAAATCCTTTAAAAGGCCTTGAAACTGTTAAAATACTTGATAGATATTTGAAACTCCTGAAGTCCTTGAAATTGTTGAAACCTTTAAACTCCTGAAATCCTTGAAACTGTTGAAACATTGAAACTCCTGAAATCCTTGAAACTTTTTTTAAACCTGGAAACTGTTGAAAGTGTGGAAACTCCTGAAATCCTTGAACCTCCTGATATCCTTGAAACTGGTTAAATTCTTAAACAGTTGAAATCCTTGAAACTACTGAATGTATTGAAAGTGTCCTTGAAACTGAAAAATCCCCTCACCGCTGAAACAATTTGGTTCCTGTAACTAAGGAAACCTGGTCTGTGGTCATTATCTGGTGGTGGTCTGAGTCTTCGTTTGGGTCTTGGTCTGGTGGTATAATGCAACCTATTAGGTTGCATTATACTGGTTTACATGGAAAAATCCCTATTAGGTTGCATTATACTGGTTTACATGGAAAAATCCCTATTAGGTTGCATTATACTGGTTTACATGGAAAAATCCCTATTAAGTTGCATTATACTGGTTTACATGGAAAAATCTCTATTAAGTTGCATTATACTGGTTTACATGGAAAAATCCCTATTAGGTTGCATTATACTGGTTTACATGTACAAATCCCTATTAAGTTGCTTTATACTGGTTTACATGTAAAAACCCCTATTAGGTTACATTATAGTGGTTTACATGTAAAAATCCTTATTAAGTTGCATTATACTGGTTTACATGTAAAAACCCCTATTAAGTTCCATTATACTGGTTTACATGTAAAAACCCCTATTAAGTTCCATTATACTGGTTTACATGTAAAAACCCTATTAAGTTGCATTATACTGGTTTACATGGAAAAATCCCTATTAAGTTGCATAATACTGGTTTACATGGAAAAATCCCCATTAAGTTGCATTATACTGGTTTACATGAAAAAAACCCTATTAAGTTGCATTATACTGGTTTACAAGGAAAAATCCCTATTAAGTTGCATTATACTGGTTTACATGGAAAAATCCCTATTAAGTTGCATAATACTGGTTTACATGGAAAAATCCCCATTAAGTTGCATTATACTGGTTTACATGTAAAAAACCCTATTAAGTTGCATTATACTGGTTTACATGGAAAAATCCCTATTAAGTTGCATTGTACTGGTTTACATGGAAAAAACCCTATTAAGTTGCATTATACTGGTTTACATGGAAAAAACCCTATTAAGTTGCATTATACTGGTTTACATGGAAAAAACCCTATTAAGTTGCATTATACTGGTTTACATGTAAAAACCCCTATTAAGTTGCATTATACTGGTTTACATGGAAAAATCCCCATTAAGTTGCATTATACTGGTTTACATGAAAAAAAACCCTATTAAGTTGCATTATACTGGTTTACATGAAAAAACCCTATTAAGTTGCATTATACTGGTTTACATGGAAAAATCCCTATTAAGTTGCATTATACTGGTTTACATGGAAAAATCCCTATTAGGTTGCATGATTACACTGAAGTCCTTGAAACTGCTGAAGTCCTTGAAACTGCTGAAGTCCTTGAAACTCTTGAAATCTTGAAACTGCTGAAATCCTTGAAACTGTTGAATCCTTGAAACTGTTGAATCATTGAAACTGTAGAAATGTCTGAAAGAGCTGAAGTCCTATTAAAATGCATGGGCCTATTAAAATGCATTGCAGAATTCTCAATGCAGATTTTTGTCCGATTGCGGAAAAACCGGAAATCGCTGAAGTCCCAAAAGTAATAGCAATAATCTCCCAAACATGTGGAACGTTTTGATGTATAACTTGTGGAAATTGTTGAAAATGTGAAAGCTGTGAAACGTGTCAAAAAAAATGACGGAATAAAGAAATACAAAACCAATGGTTGACTGCGGAAGGTTCCGCAGTCAATCAATAATATTTTTCATACTGGGCCTGGCTGAGAGCGCATTGGCTGAGAGCGGATTGGCTGAGAGCGGATTGGCTGAGAGCTGATTGGCTGAGAGTGGATTGGTTGAGAGATGATTGGCTGAGAGCGGATTGGCTGAGAGCGGATTGGCTGAGAGCTGATTGGCTGAGAGTGGATTGGCTGAGAGCGGATTGGCTGAGAGCTGATTGGCTGAGAGCTGATTGGCTGAGAGTGGATTGGTTGAGAGATGATTGGTTGAGAGCGGATTGGCTGAGAGCGGATTGGCTGAGATCTGATTGGCTGAGAGCTGATTGGCTGAGAGTGGATTGGTTGAGAGATGATTGGCTGAGAGCGGATTGGCTGAGAGCTGATTGGCTTAGAGCTGATTGGCTGAGAGCAGATTGGCTGAGAGCTGATCTAAAGCTGTGACGTAGAACATGTTAAACCAAGAGATAGAACCAAAAGTAAAAGAGTAAATGGATTTTATCACTTAGTTTATTTGTGTGCTTTGAAAGTTGAGTACCTCAGCTTTAAATCAGAGTCTGCATCACAGGACACATGTGACATCACTCTGTTGAAAGGATTTACAAACATGTCCTTCTCATGCTGTTTGAATCTTCCAGAGTCATACTTTCATACTTACATAATCCTGCACCACATGTTTACGTTTCCTTAGATGTTTCTCACTTTCCCAAAGATCCCAAAGTAAAACCAAGAATCCAAAACCAGGACTAGACTCTGTTTCCCGAGGGCCGGAGTTTTCATCCTCTCCCGGATCAGAATCTACCAGAAACACTTTCCAACAACAATCGTGTTTTGAGTCGGTACAAACAGAACAGGTGAAGTTTTCTATGTTCAAATAATAACATCGCTGTGAAAATGTGTAGTTGATGCAAGGCGGCCCAGGAATTCAGAGGAAATGAGGCTGAATGGGCGGCTTTACCATCAGAGAGGACAAAGAACCACACAGACCGTAAAAGGAGCTGAAAGAGTCCCGTGTGAGGGAAGGCATAGGCCCCCTCAGCTCTGTTGATGGTCCACACGCCTCACTGGGAAATAACTAAAGTAAATGGCTTCAAAAACATGTTCCCACAAATCACCTGCCCTGGAGGTGACGGTAATCCACAGACAGTAATCCACAGACGGTAATCCACAGACGGTAATCCACAGACGGTAATCCACAGACGGTAATCCACAGACGGTAATCCACAAACGTAATCCACAGACGGTAATCCACAAACGTAATCCACAAATGTAATCCACAGACGTAATCCACAGACGTAATCCACAGATGGTAATCCACAAACCAAACGTAATCCACAGACGCTAATCCACAGACGGTAATCGACAGATGTAATCCACAAACGTAATCCACAGATGGTAATCCACAAACGTAATCCACAGACGCTGATCGACAGACGTAATCCACAGACGTAATCCACAGATGGTAATCCACAAACGTAATCCACAGACGTAATCCACAGACGGCAATCCACAGACGGTAATCCACAGATGTAATCCACTGACATAATCCACAGAAGTAATCCACAGACGGTAATCCACAGACCAGTTTGGGATTCAGGATTCAGAGTATACGCCATTTGCGGTAAAACACCACTTTGGAATATTCATGTAGCTTGATAGACAACACAATAAGGGACCAGGAGGAGACCATGAGAGACTGGGACCAGGAGGAGACCATGAGAGACTGGGACCAGGAGGAGACCATGAGAGACAATGAGGACAATGAGGAGGAGATGAGAGACTTGGACTCCTGCTGCTCCTGCTGCTCCTGCTACTCCTCTGCTCCTGCTGCTCCTGCTGCTCCTCTGCTCCTCTGCTCCTGCTCCTCCTGCTGCTCCTGCTGCTCCTCTGCTCCTCTGCTCCTGCTGCTCCTGCTGCTCCTCTGCTCCTGCTGCTCCTCTGCTCCTGCTGCTCCTGCTGCTCCTCTGCTCCTGCTGCTCCTCTGCTCCTGCTGCTCCTGCTGCTCCTGCTGCTCCTCTGCTCCTCTGCTCCTGCTGCTCCTCTGCTCCTGCTGCTCCTCTGCTCCTCTGCTCCTGCTGCTCCTCTGCTCCTGCTGCTCCTGCTGCTCCTC